AGTATAAAATTACTATTTTTAAAGATTTTAAAGTTTTTTCTTTAGACTATTTTTAATTTTTTTTAAAAAAGTAATAATTTTTGATAATGCTTAAATAAGATTTAAAGTCATTTAAAGTAATAAAATGAATTTAAATTCAGAAGTGAAAATTATAATCTTATTTTAAAAATGTAATAAGAGTAGGCAGTAAATTTTATTAAGATAGTATAAAACTACTATACAATCTTAATACTGTGTAATAAGATTAATTAAACTGATAAGCTCTGATAGTTAAATGATTAATACAGCTACTCAGTAGTGTCTTAACATGAGAAATCAAGACATGTAAGTTCAAAACCCGCAGGAGATATATTAAATCTGAAACTCAAGCTTGAAATAAATAATAAAATATAGTAAAATAATATATATATATATATATAAGTTATTATATTCTTGTCTAGAACACTTTTCATGAATATTCATTAAGATATTAATAATTGAAGTTGATTGAAATAGGTTTACAGAGATGAGAGGTGGAAGCAGGCGTTGAGATCTCAAGTCTTCTTTTTCTAAATCTTTACTATGATTCAAACTCTCATAATTTGTATATCTATTTCGTACTTTACAATAGTTACTGTAAAATTCTTGAAATTAGCTTTTAACTACTCTTTGCTGAAGTATTTCAAGTAATTGTAACTGTTGATAGAAAACTCTTTTGATGAACTATGAGGAAAAATCTAATATATCTGATTGCTACTTGATTACACTTCTTTCCTTCTCATCTTGAAGTCATCAATTGAGATAGAAATGTTCATTTCTTCAACTTCTAATTTTTCATTTCTTTTTTATCTACTTTTCTAGACTTTCACACTTCTTTGACAAAGTTCATTGTCAGCAGCATCCATACGCGAACCCTCTCTCCTTCACAGCTGGGAGGGTTATAGGAAAGAGAGGGGGAAGCAACTCATAACATTACATATGCACGTACCATGCTCAGCTCAAATTTTCGATTAGACCTTCAACAGGGGGCTGTAAACAGGGGGAAAGCTGGCATGTGTTTTTCGATTTCGCCGTATCGTATGGCCAGAAGCGAGAGATGGCCACAGTTGTGAGATGGGTGTGATAGGTGTGCGAGGGTCAAAACCTTGGAGGCATTGGCAAGCAATGAGATGGGGATGAATGGATGAAGGGTCCAGCCAAAGCTTCTACATAGACAAGGTCCCCTTAAGTCTTTCCCTGACTACATGTAGCGAGGGATGATGTAGATATGATGCATCATGTTCGGGAACATCTGGAACATTCTCTCTTTCTGAGCATTGGTGCAAGATAGATATAGAATCCTAGGGAGTTCTCTAGAGCTGCAGGATTGTAATCAAGCGTCTCGTTTTTTGTCATTAATTTGTCTCCCCGCCTCAGCAACATATCACACCTCGAAGAGTATACAAGAGATTCTGCAAGCCTGGCCACAACAAACGGAGTTGAGGTGTTTAGCTGTGTCACGCTCAAAAAAGAAAAACTGTCTGTAGAAGTGGCACCACATGGTGAGTACAGCATATGCTTCCAATGTTTCTATTTGTTTCTATTCATACTTTATTATTGCTCTTTTTGATCGGGAATGTCTTTCTTCCTTGCTTTTCTGTAGTGAGTTTTTTTTTTTTTTCGATTTTCTGAACCGGGTTCCTGGGATCCCTGCTTGTTTCTTCTCCCCCTTTCCCCCACCCCCCACCCCCCAAATGAGCTGTAGCCAATGTCATCTGCGTATTCTGAAGCGTGCATGAAGGAAGATAGAGAAGAGGAACACTCTTTTCTTTTTACCCCCATTGTCTCACCTTCAATAGGTGGTACGCTGATGGACAGGTATGCATGCAATTCAGCGCATTCATCTGGCGTGACTCTGTGTAGTTCATAAGGTGTGGTGAATTTAGGTTTAGGTAAAATTGATAGACAGGAATGCGCTATATTGAATCTGGACATCTGTTGGATGGAGCAAGATGAGCGGGAAGGCAAGGGGGGCTAGGTTTGAAGGAGAGGGTATGTCCCATAAAATACAGCCTAATTCGCTATCGCAGATATGGATAAGAAGAATCACTCGGCATTGGATGATAACAAGGTTTTGATTTTTGCTAATAAGGTGAAACACGCTGCTCCTTTGTACAACATCAGGAGGGAGAGCTGTAGCCATCTCTGAAGTCAGAGTGTGCAACATCACACTCGCATACGCAGGAAGTGGAAAGCCGCCACTCGGGCTTCTAGCAAAGAGCTTAAAAACTTGACACAAATCATTTCCTCCGTTCTCTTGAGCTATGGGAGGAATATTGGCGTTTGCCCTTGCTTCTAGTTTCGGATATGAAATAGGTTGTTCAGTACACGTGTCAATAGAGAATCCTGTTCATTAATGGTGAAAATCCAAGCGTATTGGATTTGCATTTGTGTGGAGAAGGGATATGAACAGTGAAGATTTGCAATGCAAGGAGCTCGGGGTTAAAGAATAACAATACATCAAAAGAGTATGTAGATGAACATGTATGTACTTCGTCAGTCGTAGGAAACAATTTAATGCTATCCACTATTTACGAGCCATTTCCCATTGGAACAAGGCTCGAAGAACAGCCACAGCACCGGATTGAGTTTCAACAGTGCGCCCCCGGCCACGGTCATTCACATCCTTTAAAACAGCAGGATCCCTTTCGCGGCGATATGAGCGGGATGTCCCCTCATTCCTTTTCTTTTTCAAGAAGGGCAGCTTTCCATATCTCCCAAAGTATATTTCAGTATCTGCACCTTTCGGTAACCGCTGATGGGACTCATCATCATCACGAACACCTGCAAACGGGCCTTCATTGATGTAGTCGACAGCGCCATCTGGCAAGGGAGATATCTGGGTGGGATGGAGATCAGTGTGTGGATACGGCTTTCCCCACCACATACCAAACTTTCCGTCCTCATCTTTCGTCACGTATGAAGCATTCGCATTGTGTGCCACCCAATAATAGTAAGAATCACATTTCTCTTGATGCCATTCATAGTCCCCCCTCTGGGACTTGATCATTTTAGCTGTTGTCCTTTTGCGAATGGAGGAAGAGAGATATTGTTCTTCGTCGTTTGTGAGAGGGCGACAGAATTCGGCTAAATGGTGGAACAAAATGCCTTTGAATGTATGGCCATTTTGTGAACAGCTCCCTGAGCTGTCGCATGCTTCCTCAAGAACTCCAGCCCGTCCCAGGCCTTGCCATTTTTGGCTAGAAGTGTTAGGCCATCCAGTCGCCTTGATGACATTCCGTACCAGTTCGTGACCATCTTCCAGATAGGATTTCGCTCCAGTGGCAAGCCAGAGGCCCCTGAGTCCGCTAAGTAAAACGCCTTGGTTGTAGGTGTATACCATCGGATCTAAAACGTCGCACTTCCCAGTACCAGGATTGCTTTTGTCCCTCCATCCTTGGATGTGGAACCCATCTGCATATAGCCCGTTTTCACGCGTCATATTAGAGTTTTTTAGCCATTCATATGCGGTAATCGCGGCCTTCAGATGGGAAGGATTGTGCGGTTCGGAGATCATGTCGTCAGTAGTAGATTCCGAAAGCAAGGGTGAATCGATGTCGTCACCAGGGAAATATAGGTACATGCCAATGCTCGCAGAAATGAAGAGCTCGTTGGTAATTGCATTTTTATACGGTTCGAGGTACGGGCTCCAAACCATTCCGCCATCGCATAGGGAAGTATCCCAGCCTTGAGACGCTAGGTCATAGAACAACCGAGCTCTGTGCGCAGCGGGCTTCCTGAACTGGGTTCCATACCATGATGACCGCAGGCTGTCATTCGACACGGAGGAGATGGAGGAAGAGTAGTATAAAGTAGAGTGGATGTTTTGGAACTTAATGTTCTCCAACCAATCAAGAACTACCCATAGCATGTCGTCGTACGCCTGCATTCTCAGGCTGAAAGCATCTTCCCCGAAGTAAAACGTTGATAACTGCAAAAAATACGAGTTTATAAGGTTCTCGTAGGCAAGGGTAGAGCCGCCAGCGGCTGCTAATTGATCGGCATCGAGATTATCGAGATTTATACTCAGAGAGGAGAGCGTTGCAGAGACGTGTGTTGCCAAAACTGCCGCAGTCCAATCAATGCTCGACGGCCAGGTCCCTTGCCAAAGTTCAAAATATGACGATTGCATTACTTCCAACGCGTTTAGCAGTTTCTTGAGTGTATCAGTGGGGGCAATGGGGTCGTGTATTGGTTTCTGCGGCGCTGACCCTCCGGAGCCACGCAATGGGACAGTGTTCGGGCGACCATTGAGTAGTTTTTGGCGGCCATCGCTAGAGAGATGGTCACTGTGTGAATCTAAGGTGTTTTCTAATGGTTGCGCCAGCGCAAAGTGGTGAAGCGAGAGGCAGAGAAGGTATCCAACGATAATAATAATGCGAGAGAAGGAGGATAGCCCATTTCCAGGCCGCCTCAACCAGAAACCCATTCCGACGTTATAAGACTGTTCTTGACTCTTTCTGTGTGGTGGATGATATCTAAGAATATGTAATTGATAGCTTGGAGTCGAGTTATTTACGGTATGTCAAGAGTGTGGCAATGCTAACTATCTCTCCCTTGAGCTAGGTAGTGAGGAAGAGGGAGAAGGGATGAAAAAGAAGTAATGCCTTAGCTAACCAATGGCATATGTAATGATCAGCCGCGCCATTGGAAGCACAAAGGATATGGGAGAAGTGCGATGTTGGATAAAGGAATGATTGCCAGAGCTGGATGGGTCGGGTCGGGCAAGCGGGCAGGCGCGCTTCCCACTTAGCGTGGGTTAGTGAGTTTCGCTTGTGACAACGTGGTGATCCTCACTTACCACGCTAAATCGGCTGATCCAACCCTAAACCATATTACTGGACGCAACAGAATCACCAGACAATGCTAAAATATATTTGAAAATAATTGTGTTGAGCCGGTGAATAATGTTGAGGTGATGAATCCTCAGAATAAGTGTTGCAGGTGAGCGGTAGCTTACAAATCACCTAGGGCAGTTTTGATAAAAGTACTACTGTATGTTGCTATTTTTAAGACTATATGCAAGATGGCAGCCATACAGCGGCCGTAGAGTTTGGCCTTGACAGGTTCATGGGATTCATGAGATAGGGGGGCATGAAAAATATCTCAATTTCGGGAGCTAGAGGATAAATTTCGCAATGTCATTCTGAAGTTTCGGAGAACTGTGTACATAGTTATGCGTGAATGTTATTCTGAAATCCCTCCAATATACTCAGTTATTCCTATTCGCCTGATGTATGTGTGGCACGAGCTATTTGGCTCATAAGGTTGAGTGTTTCAGCATAGCAACCAGCCGGACAATCTTACTCAGTTCCTGTGACGTCTGATGCGGCTCATGATTGTTTAGTAGCAGCTGAGAATCAATTGGCAATACGTTTTGACTAGAAAACAACCGTTCACGAAACCAACTGTGTCGAGCTGGAAAATCTCGTGGACGTCATGACGTAGGTTATTTATGCATTTTAAATCAAAATTTAGCAGAACACCTTTGGAGAACGGAACAATCGTAGGCTATATTACTTCTAGTATGATTTAAGTAGTTTGGTATGTTATGCGCACATTTGTAGCTGCATATACGGGGGTTGGGCGTTAGTCGTTCAAAGAAGGCCTGGGAAAATAGCAGCGGCTGTATGACACAAGTAGAGAGAAACCGTTGGAAAAATATTTGAAATTTTATATATCATTCGGTCCAATTTATGATTAAAGAAGGCACCTAATGACATCATTGTTAGCACCGGAATTGATCAATTTACAGTAAAAGAGGGGGGTTCTTACCTATCCCTTCAGATTATCAAGTGCCGACACTCCTGTTCCCTAACACCTTCGCATTCAGACAATGCGCTAAGAGCGCGCAAGCGAGATGCGGGCGTAATCAAGGAAGGCAGAGTCGGCGATTTAAAATGAAAACGTCCACTGCTTCAGTGGAATCACATCGCCATGGATACATCGTATGCAGCCCCAACCAAATTTTCTCCACACATATTCCCCCAAGCACCCAAGGTTCTGTATGCACATTGATATTGCATAAAGAGTAGCGCCGGGGCAAAAGAGTATTGAGAAGACAGATTCGCTGGAAGAAACAATATTCCGCAGTAAAAATCATCACAACCTGGGCCAGGTTTAACCTCGTCCGGCCTGGCCCTCAGGGCTTCGGCTTCGACTTCTGCTCCGGGAGCGGCCTCCCCGAGCGCGATTCCCGACGTTTCCGGATTTGCCTTTATTATGTGATGGCGGTGGTCTGACAAATGCGAAATCGACCTGGATGGATTGATCAAGTAGTTTGGCTCCGTTGAGCGCTTCGATGGCGGCTTTCGCTTCGGGTAATGTCGTGTACTCGATCAAAGCGTAGCCCTGTCAGATAAGTTAGCAACGTTGCCTGATTATAATATTCAACATAACCAACAATAATAGAGCTTGATAGTAATCTCAGGTAAACAGGGTGACCGGAAAGGCAAGCGACAGGAGTGGTTGGCGGCGAGCTCGGATTGGAGGGAGGGGGAAACCCGGTGGAGAGTGTTACTCACCTTCACGTAACCTGTCCTCCGATCCAGATTTAAATTGAAATTCTTAATTTCTCCGTATTCAGCAAACAGATCGGTAACGTCCTCTTCAGAAGCTTCCTCATGAATGTTGGTCGCAAGAACAATCCAGCCTTCAATACTCCGGACGGCGACTGCGCCAGCTTGGGTGAGGGTTTCGCCGGTTGCATGTGAGGATGGGGCATGGCCAAAATTTTTCCTGTCCAGAGGAGGGGGATCGAGTTCCATTTCCGTCGACATTTTTGCGGTTGAAGCTATGACGCGATAAATGTTGAAAGGATTGATTGCTGAGCTTTGGACTGTCAATCACTGTGCTGGTTGTTCAGGCTGATTCTTTCATCCAGAACCCAAGCAATGGCGCTGGGCTGATTAGATAAGCGGGGTTGGCCAGAGCTTGGACTTGTGAGAGATACTCAATTCATCCTTATACATAACATCCAACGACTGGTAATAACAACTGGGACTAATACGAGAATACATCGGGCAATGAAATACATCTTCTTCAACGAGGATCCCGCGGGGTTGGGCTTGAAAATTAACCTTCCGTGCCATCCCGCCGCGTGAGCGACTCAGCTTCCCTTCAATCCTATTGGCACTTTGTTCACTTTCCGATGATACATAACGCGAAATTTATAAATTCCATCAATTTTATACTATGTGAAGTGTGGGTATGGCATTGTTGGTGTGGTTGGGCCTCACGGTTTGCTCAACTCGGTTATTGAATGGGATGCCAACAGACAGTAAAATGCCCCTTAAATACCAAACGGAAGGAACTGAAATGCAAAAAAGGGAAAAGAGAAGATTTAGTTACACAAATACTAACTTATACATTTATTACAAGTCTCTGAAAAAAACAAACAAAAAAACAAAAAAACAAAAAAACAAAAAAGAATGTATACCACAAGCTCTTTGTTTCCCTTGCTCCAGGGGATAATCGAGAGCATTGGACACGGGCTGTCATTCCGTGTTCCAGTTCCCTTTCTCGTGGGAAATGTTTCCCAGCTCTTAAAGTACTTCCTGGTACCTGGTTGTTGTTTCTTATTTTCGGACCTTGTTTCCCCATTTCAATTCTCCGGTTAAGATTTCTCTCTCATTGCTGCTGCAAGAAATAAAGCAGCTCGATTCGCATCCTCTGCGTAGGACCAATGACCAGTCATATCTAAACCGCCTCGGCAGATAGGGTCTCCTTCTGCACATATCGACATCACCTTATCTTTAGCAAGAGATTTGAGAGGAAGGTCGTGGAGCGGGTCGCCGAAGAGCACTGCTCTTGCTACCTGATCATTCCGGAGGTCCCTAGAGGCATTATGGATCACTGCAGCTCCCTGGGAGTATCCAGCAAGGACTACTTTGCTCTCAGGGCATTGCGACAATGAGTGGTTGATGAGATCAACCATAGTTGGTCCGCCATCTTCCCCGAAGTTCAAGTTTCCCTATTCTTGGGAGTTAGCAGAGGTCGCCAACCCAAGTCTATGTTTTTTTTTTTTTTTTCAGACTGAAATTACCAGAAAAGAGGCAGGATAATCAACTCCTTGGACGGTGACCTTTCCCTTCAGAAGGGCCCTCAATGCGGCAGCAAGAGGAGGACCAACTATGTCTCCCATATTCCCCTTTTCGTCCGTCCCGCGGGCGAATATCAAAGTTAACGGCTGACAGCCGTTGAATTTTTTGATCCCATTTTCGGTCGTAGGGCCACCTTTTGAACTTCTGAAAAGGTCTCGAATCCAATCCCAGCCCGGAATTCCACCCCGTCGTTCAACGCTGCTCCTTTTCCCAATGTCTGGTGATATTGTTGGAAGGGCGAAGGCGGATATACAAAGAGTCGCTAATATCACGAGGGAAAATAGCTTCATCGCAATTGAACCAGAGGTGCGTTATATAACGAGGGACAGGTATATATATATATACAACCGAATTGGAAATTCGACAAATGAGTGTATATACAGTGCATCTCTCGGGGTGTTTCCAAGACCTAGGAATCACGGGTCTATAAATATTCGCAAAAAGTGCCGCTGGGAATTATTCTCCTTTTCTCCTCATGCGAGACTGAGGGTCCAACGCGAATCGACGCCTCCATGGTCTAAGCGGCCGGACAATTGCGGGGGAGGCCGTATCTATGCTCCATTTTCCAGACCACCTAGCATGCACTCAGCCAGGTTCATGGCGCAAGTAGGCCAAGAAATGATCCGCAAAATTAGGGTCGGGGAGAAGCTAAACGCACGGGGAAGTGGTCCTCTTCGAGCTGCGTGGGCCGACCAAACTTGGTAAAGAGTAAATGACAGTTTTCATTAGATGGAATTAAAGATCGCATTCCGGAGCAATACCTTGGGTTGAAAACAGATTTTGGAAGTGGTGGAATCTGTTTGGTTGACAGCTTCAGCGGCTAAGGACTTCGATTAGCGAATGGGGTGGCATGTCCTTCCCCGAACAGCCACGCACTTCCGCTCCGCAGGCAACCATGCGAAACATAATCACAAAACATCTCATGTTTTGGCAATGCGATTGGTAGCTGTTAAAATTACCCAAGAATGAAAAAGCCGAGACCCTGCGCATGATCTAATCCAACGTACAGCTTTGACTCGCAGACAAAGAAGCAACTTCCAAGGTACTAGGCTTGGTCAGGGAATAAGAGCCGTCGCCCAACGAACGACGGTGGCATCTTTCCATTTTCCGTTGCTCCTATTCTATTATCCATGGTAAAGTTAGGGAAACCTGCAGCGATCCCATTCCGGGAAAGCCGCAGGGGAGTCATCGATGGCATACCATACCTATCCTTGTGAGAACTGACGGAGCCCGAAGTAGCGGTAAGTTACTTCATGCGGCAGCTTTTAACTCACAGTTTCTTCTCTCAGCCATAGCTGGAATTCTCCCATTTTTCTTATCTCTTCTCCAAAGCATACATCGAACCAGGAAAATGAATTTATCTTGCGGGCTAGAAGGGGGTTGCAGGGCGCTCATTGGGCTAATCATGATAAGTGGCGAAGGGAAAGGGCCAAACCCCTTCTCTACCTCACTTAATCCGTACCTCAGTCTGTGAACGTTTTTTAACGGTCGTAAAGCTACCAATTGTTCTTGTCATTGGTAGAGTGTATGGGTTGCCCTGTCTCACATGCCTGTAAAGTGCCTTTACGCAGTAGGACAGTAATATTCAACGTCCGTTCATGTCAAGGGTATACAGACAGACTGGGATACTTCGCGCATTGTAGATACAATGCTCTCTCTCTATTTTTCTCTCTCCTCTTACTCTCGCTCTATTTATCTGAATAGGACCAAAGAGAGGAAACCACATTATGAAATATTCTTAAATCTCCGCTTTCGATGCTGTCTGGCCTGGCGAGATTTCAGTTGTGTCATTCGAAAAGGAGATTTGCTATGATACCGTGTGAAGGAATTCACATTCCATTAGTTGTGAACAACACCTCATACGCATGATACGAAATATTTGCAAAAGGGCTGCTGAATTGATTTGATTTCACTCCTGGTGCAATAGATCTCATGTTGTAGATTTTTGATGCCATGCCATGGTTTGTTAGTCTGCTGATGACCTCCCTCCCTGAGATGTTACAACTAGAAAGTTATTCACTAATATATATTTTCATAGTATTTTTGCGATTCATTCAATCTGCTTGGTAAGTGAGGAAAGCTTCACTTGATGTATATATCTGTATGATATATAAAATTTCAAGAAGTTACACCTCACTCCGTTGTGCTAGCTGATATGTTTATTTACTTCTAAGGAAGGCAGCAACCTCTCTTGCACCTACCTACCTGTGGAAGGGAGATGATAAAGCATGCTTGACTCATACTACATACAATATACAATATTTGAAAAATTATGTATTTGATAATATTCTTGTCGAAGTGAAACTGATTTTTTACACAGAGTCCAAGGTACTTCTTCATTGACATTATGGCAGCAATGATTGAAGAAAGCTAAAGGGGAGAGAGTAAGGCAATTACATCCAACACATATTCACCTCAAACATTATATCTCATGCAGCATGGTGAGTTGGTGAATTGAAGTTTTTCTTTATACAAGAACAGTGATCTCATCTAACAAGAGAGATCTCTCAGCTCTATCAACTACTCCTGTCTTTCTGGTTGAGCTAATTGCTTCACTGCTCTATTCTATCTATAGATGAAAAAAAGCTCACATTTCTATCCATCCCTGTGAGAGGCTTTGATAGGAGGACATCTAACTGCTGGCTTTGTTTGCAGAGTACGACATGTCGCCGTTGTAAGTAGTATCCCCAACGATGAGCAACGCCTCAGAAGAGGAGGCCCACCTGATCTAGCTATTAACTAAATCAACGGTTGAAACATGCGCTAGGAATGATCAGACGACGTCGATGTCAGCCTTTGGCTACGTTTCATCGGAACCAAGTAGTGAAGATTCACGAAATGAAAGGATCCTCCACTGGCTAAATAGCCAGGGGGACCCGGATTTCGAAAACGACAACCACATCAGAACAGGCGCTGAGATCGTGATACGGATAAAGGGAACTGATGGACAAGCCGATGAATATGTTCATCTACGTCCTCCGAGAAGTAATATCGATGTAGATTTCGAATCTTCCACGGGGACTGTTACCATTAGAGAAGTAACAACGGTACCAGCAGCAGAAACAATGGAGGGAGAAGTAGAGCAACAAGGCGAAGCTGAAGAAGGACTGCACCCCTCCACAGCCGGTCCCATGCCAGAGGCTACAAAGCCTCCCCATCTCTCCGTCCTCCTGCGCCTCAATCGCAGCATATGCGAACTTGTGGCACTGGAAGAACTCAACGACACCTCCCTACTCCTCAGCATCGATATCATGGATGGCCAGCGGCTCAGCACAGAAAACCATCAATACGGCTTCATCAGTGGGCGGGTCGTGAGCGCGCTGGAAAATGTCATGCGGCAACCACGGCAAATACGCGCGATGCAGATTCTACTCCCTGCCTCACAGATACCGTGGAAATGGACCGCGACGACTGTGCTGGTGACTTTTGGCAAGATATCCGGGCGCGAGAGGAGGAATATGGGTCTGATTTACCAGCGGGTTAGGGAGTGTCAGTACCAGATCCAGGAGTATGATAAGGTGGTTCCCAAGGAGAAAATGTTGGGGGAGCTGGTGGAGCAGGAAGAGGTGGCTGTGAGGAATTTGGAGAAGCTGGACGTTGGGGAGAGGCGGGAGTGGTTGGAAAAGTATGAGAGGATTGTTGACGAGCAGGCTGTTGTGAAGACGAGGGATCAGTGGGTTCTGGAGGGGGAGAGGCTGAAGGAGGAGCATAACGCGCTGATGGATGTCGTTGGGGGCTTTACCAAGGCTGCGGATGGGCTTGAAGAGCTTGCGCGTCGGGACAAGGAAATTTAAAGGGCTGGGTGGGGATTGCTGTTGGGTTGGATCTGGGTGGGGTGGGATGCTCTTGGGTTTGAGAAGAATGAAAAGTTAGTCTAGCACGTTTCTCTGTCTGTACCTATTCCGTCCGCATATATGTTCTTTGCATTCAGTTTGTATTAGGCAGGCAACTCCACTCGTTCGAGGAGGTAAGCCAGCACTGTGATATTATTAATATTGTTGTTGTTCCTCCAGTGTGCTCTCGCGACTTGGGAAGCCTCTTGCAGCCGAGGCTGCCATCAAAAAAATGTACAGATGTAAGTTACTCTGCGCAGCACATATGTACAGTACATAATTATCACATTTTCCGACACCAGCTTACCATAATAGCTTCCACCACTTGAACATCACACCACAGAGGGCTCTGGGATATGGTTTGATTAACTTATCTACATAGTAAGTAGAGTAGCTTCCCAGGTCGCTAATCTTATGACGAGTAAGACTGACACAAGGTTGCGTTTGGGCATTGGCGACAAGCGCCAACGGACTCATTAACGCTGGTAATGTCAACAGCATCCACCAGTCCGGTTGGGCAATAGTGGCATGTTCCATGGGATTCTATTGGAGAAGTTCCTGCGAGACTTGTATAGTTATGCCAGGTATTTTAGGGCGCTTTAAAACAACCTCTAGTTACCAGGATAATAATTTAGCGCAAGGACTCGCATCTCTTTCTCCCTCTCTCTCAGACTTTTGGTGGATTTGGATAGCAATACTTTCTGCTTGAATCGAGCTTCTATCCTCCCCCTACGCTGAGCAAGAGCATCCACGGCCATATCAACTCCCAAAGCCTTGTGGTCAACCACCTGATAAAATCTTCTTTGGCCAGCAAGTCGTGGGGAGCGTTTCGGAACCTCGGCAGTTGGGACTAGACTCAGACAAGATTCGGGAACCTTGGACGGACGGGAACCTTCCAAGATTGGGTTCAAGTTGGCACCCGGCCAGCTGACTAATAAGACTAGTGCCTTCCCGAGACGATATCTGATTGGACAATAGGTTTCACTTGCGCCCAGAGCCTTTGCGGCGGCTTGGCAGGGTCGACTAAACATCCACCACCACCACCACCACCACCACCACAGGCTCGGGTTTGTCGTTGCCACCACACATACCAACCAGGGAAGCCATCAAACTTGTTTATTCGTCTGTGGTGGTCGTGATTTGTATCCCTAAGGAATCAGAGAGGCCAAAAATATTGGCGTCTTGCTGCTTGTCCACGACTGAAGCGGCCTGGCTCTTGTGATCTGATTTGATGGACGGAACCAAGGTTGGGGTACGTCAGTTGAAGTTACCATTCTTGATTGGCCTACTAACTTTACCACATATATTTCAGTCGTACCTGGAAGTATGTGAAGCGCTCATGAAGTTTAAATTTTACTATCATAGTACGGGGTCGGCGGCGTCGCGAAAGTCTGGAGCAACGAGGCACTTATAGATCCATTACTCGTTTCCCCATTTTCCCTCGCTTCCCCTCCATT